AGGGAAAGGGGAAGCTTGAGGATCAACTTCTAGGTTAGGTTGTTTATTTGAGCTTGCTTTGATTTTCTGATATGAGAATTCACCACTATAAATTTCCCTCCATTGTGGCTTGTGTCTAGATGTATCCCAAAGCCCCATGCAGTCTTTTTAGAAGGTAGCTAAATGAGGGAGCTAGGACTAAGGGCGTGTGATTACTAAACCCCTGCATGTGAGTGGCTGATTAGGCACTGCCCCAACCCTTGCTGTCTGAGTAAAGATAAAAGGAGCAGAAAGACACTGTTAAGGTCCCTTGTTGCTTTTGTTACCTTCCGGCTGCCATGGACCATTTCTCCTCTGCTATGCCTCTCTGATCTCTCTTGTTACTTCTGCTGCTTCTGCCCCGATGAGCTGTTGCCCCTCTGCCACCCTGCCTTGGAGCCAGCTGATTATGGACCGAAACTTCTATGAACTGGAAGCCAAATAAGCCCCTTCCCCTCTAACTTTGGGTGTTGGGTATTTTATCTCAGCAACAAGAGAAAAGTAACTAACACACCCTCATAGAACAGCTTTCACTGCATCCCATAAGTTCTGGTATGCTAAATTGGTATTATCATTTAATTGTAGAAACTGTCTTCTTCTCCTTTAATTTCCTCTGTGACCCATTGGTTGTCCAGGGAAATGTTATTTAATTTCCATGTGTTTTTGAAGTTCTTGTGGTTTCTTTTGCCATTGACTTCCAATTTCATTGCACTATGGTATGGTATGGTTTCTTTTGATTGACGAATAGAGACCATTAACATCAGTGGCTATAACTGACATATATTGACTTATCCTTGTCACGTTATTTTCCTGTTGCTGGCTCCTTTTTTCTCCCTCTGTTTAATTGCTTGACTTGCCTTGTAGATTCATTCTGTTAGGATTCATGGAGTTGTAGTCCTCATTTTCTCATTCCAGACTGTTCCTCAGAACATTTTGGGGTACTGGTTTGGTAGTCGTGAGTTTATTCAGGTGTTCTTTGTTGTGGAACTATCTTATTTCTCTCTCAACTTTTTTTTTTGTTTTGGGGGGTTTTTTTGGTACCAGGGATCGAACTCAGGTCCTTGCACTTATGAAGCAGGTGGCAGAACCACGAAGCTAAATCCCCAACTTCTCTCCCTCACTTTTTTTTTTTTTTTGGTACCGGGGATTGAACTCTGGTCCTTGTGCTTGCGAGGCAGGTAGCAGAACCACTGAGCTAAATCCCCGGCCCCTCTCCCTCACTGTTGAAAGATAGTCTTGCAAGGTACATCAATCTGGGTTGGAGGTTGTTTTCTTTAAAGCTTGAAATACATCACCCCAAACTCTCGTGACTTGAGGGTTTGTGTTGAGAAGTCTACTGGGATTCTGATGGGCTTTCCTTTATAGGTGACTTGTTTCCTTTCTCTAACAGCTTTTAATATTTTTCTTGTGTTGAATTTCTAGAGTCTTGACTAGTATGTATCTATTGGGTAATTGGAGTTCTGTATACCTCACTTACGTCAATTTCTTTTTCCATGCTTGGGAAGTTTTTTGCCATTATTTCTGTGAACATTTTTTTATGTTGTGTTATCTCCTGCATTTTCATTGTCTCTGATTATTCTTATGTTATTTTTCTTTGCATCTTCTAGCAGCTGTTGGATTGATTTCTCATGGTCCCTTGCTATTTTTAAGAAATCTTCCTTTTCGTGTTCACTAACCACAATCCTGTCTTTTATATCCGATATTCTGTCTTTACATTGCTCATTCTGCTGTATAAACTTTCAATGGAGCTTTTAATCTCCTGGTTATCTGTTTGAATTTGTTTCATGGGTTTTATTTCTTTCCTACCTTGAACATCTATGGTTTCCATCATTTTCCTAAGATCCTCTATTTTTTGATCTGTATCTGCTCTACAGCCACTAACTACATCTTTCATTATGGTCACCATCTCTGCAGTTATCTGAGGAAATATTTTTCATTTGATTTTTTTTCCTAGAGCTTAATTCATCTACTTTGTTGTTCCAGGTGGGTGCTTTTTGAATTGTTCCACCTGATTTCTCCCTGGGTTTGTCTTTGGTGAGCTGGAAGTCTGGAGTTGCATCTTGCTTAAGTGTCTTCTCTTTTTTTTTTAGGTTAATTCCTGGGTTGATGCTTGTAAATTGCTTATGGCAAGTAGCTTTATTGGTAGCATTTAGAACCCTTAGGAAATGACTACTTCTCAGAGATGTCTTCCAAGTGTGGCTGGATTTTTAAAACAATTATGTCACCTTTGCTAAAGCAATAACAGTAGCATCAAACACATCCTAGAGAATGACAAACTGTGGTAACTTTTTTGTTGTTGTTGTTTTTTGAGACAGGGTCTCACTATGTAGTTGAGACTGATCTGGAACTCACTATGTAGCCCAGGCTGGTCTTGAACTCACAGTGATCCTCCTGCTTCAACCTCCTGAGTGCTGGGATTATAAGCGTCCATCACCATGCCCAGCTGTGGTAACTTTTAATTGTCCCCTTAACCATATGAACTAGATTTGTAGTTTTATAACAAAATCTAAAGTAAACCAAAATAAAATAAACAAGAAAATTGTATATAGTAAATATACCCTCAATATAGTGATTTTACCCTTGGGAAAAAATTTTAAAAAGGTTTGGGGGGGTAGAGAAATAGAAGAAGAGGAAGAGATTAGAAGAAAGACTGGAGGACAAAGGAAGATTATGCAAACTTTGGGAAACAGGTAAAGAAGACAGGAGAGAAACAGAGAAGGAAGAGATAAAAACAAGAACAAACATAAAAACAAAAAAACTAGAAACAAGGTTCACATTTCTATAAAAATAAGAACAAACAAAAATAAGAAAAAAGAAAAGAATAAAAATGTCCACTTAAGGGCTTGTCTCTACTCTCCCTGGTAGACAAGAGTGGGCAGACAGAGCCCAAATCCATGTTGATTAATCCCAGTAAGCCAGCTGTAGATTTATGGTGGGGTAGTAGGCATTCCTAGCAAGTCTATACCTTTCTTCTCAGGCTCAGGCAGTGAGGCTGAAACCCATTTTGATCAGCCTACAACACTCTCCTGTGCCTCCTGGGGGCTTGAACTCAGTTCCATCTCACCCTAACTCGGACTGCTGCTGGCTGAAGTCAGCCCACAACCGCTCAGAGTTCTGAGCTCAGTTGTCCTCTCTCCAAGGTGGCTACTGGCCGATTCTCCTCTCCTGGGGGCGGGGGGTCTGAACCCAAATAACTGACCAGCCACTGCAGTCTGCTGCATACACTACTGCATTCCACTGGTCCATTTCTCAGTGGCGGCCTCTAGGGTAGCCAGCAGTCACTGCTCCTCCACACAGTAAGCCAGGGCTCCAGGAGAAATCACTCCTGACCCCTCCCTCTTCTGTGCTGAGGTCTCTCTCTCTTCACCTCCCATAGGATTCAGTTCTCCCTGCAGATCCTCACTGGGTCCCAGGGACCCACCTCCCTCCTCCTTCTCTTCCTCACATTGCTATAATCCATCGTCTGGATGCCAAATCTCAGCGAGGCTGCTTCTCTGCTGCTCACCATTCTGCCATCTTCCCGGAAGTCCATCCTTCTCCTTCTTTCCTCTGTGGAGAGGGATGACTGAGAATTGAACCAGGGGTGCTCTGCGCCTAAGCTAATCCTCAGCCCTTTTCATCTCCAGACAGGCTCTCCCTATGTTGTCCAGGCTGGGCTTGAACTTGCAAACTTCTTGCCTCAGGCTCCTGTGTCTGGGTTTCTTGGACTGTGTCCCCACACCTGGCATATCTGACACCTCCTACCTGCAGGTAGCTGTGACCTGGCTAGATCGCCTTGCTTAAGGGTTTTTACTGGCTGTAGGCTGCATGAGAAGAACCCTAGGAGATCTTCAAGCTACACAATGGAGGCAGTGACCTTTGAGGATGTGGCTGTGAACTTCACTTTAGAGGAATGGACTTTGCTGGATCCATTCCAAAAGAGGCTCTACAGAGATGTGATGTGAGAAACCTTTAGGAACATGGCTGCGATAGAAAGAAACTGTGATGACCAGCAAATTGAAGATGAGCACAAAAGTTGCAGGAGAAATCTAAAGAGTGAAGAGGTAGACAAATGGAATCATCATTAATTATGGTATCAACATGAAGAAATGGCTTACATATTAAAACAACTGTACCCCAATATCTTAAATGAAAAGTATAAAAGCCAAATTTTTGGAAAGATTTGTGTTTCAATTAAGCTATCACATCATTTCAGTGTGTATACACA